GTACTGTGCTGGAACTCCTGTGACAGCTGAGACGGAAAGGCTGCAAGTGCAGGTCTCCCTTTTTAGTGTTTATACAGAGCAGAGGGGAGAACGGACGTTATCCGCTCTGCTCCCAGCTCTTCATCTGTCAAATGGTCTGTCTATTACTCAGGAGTGAGATGAAAGGGTTCCTACAGAAAAATCAAAAGTTTTTTTTTAGAAATGCCTGGCTGAACTCACGTGATTTGCCATGATATTGTAAATGACTCCTCATTTCAAATAAAGCCAAGACCTTATTAGGTACCTTAAAGGCAGATAAACAAGCCATGTCAACAGATAAACTTAATTTATTAGCTCTTGGGGTCACAGAGGAATCTAGCAGTAAGTGGTTAAGTTCTATAGTGCTCATTTCTAAGCCAGATGGCAGTCTGAGGCTCTGCAATAAATTTAGGAACCTAAATTTAAAATCCAAATTTGATGATTATTTTGTGCCCCTAGGTGGATGAGTGGATAGAAAGGTTGGGTCCTGCAGGCACATTACTACCCTTGATCTTACTACCAAGGGTTACTGCAGGTTCTCTTAACAGCCAGAGCAAAGGAAAAGATAGCTTTTGTGACACCAGATGGGCTGTTATACTAAATGGTTTTCCCTTTTGGCTTACATAGGGCCCAGGCCTCATTCCAAAGAATGATAAACAGCATTCTTAAGGTCCACAATGCATATGCTTCAGCATATTGGTATGACGTCATTTTTAGTCTTTTTAGATTTCCCTGCATACAGAGGGTCCATGTAGTTTCTGGGTTCTAGAACCCGAAGGCTTTGTTCTAGCTTTGGGTGGCATAAATCTTCCATTCCTAGGTCCACATCTTATCTGGTAGGCAGACCTTCATTTTAGTCTTAGCTGTCCACAGGTCTTTATATATGTGAGCTGACTAATAAAGGTCTCTCTCTTGTTCTCTCTGCTGTAGGAGCCTGCTTCTGGGTGAGAAGGCTGAGTGCTGACAGAACATTAAAAAAAGGTATTAGTGCACATTTCACCTCAGACCCAGTTGCGGCCAGCAGGTACACTGAGTGAGTCGGATGTAGTGGCTCACCTGGCGGGATCCATCTTTCGTTCTCTCTTCTTCTCTTCCTAGCTTCCACTCTTCCTCCTCTGTTCTTCACCTGCTAGTATGTGTTCCTGACCTTGCAGGTCCAGATATAGGTGTACCCTAGATCACTATGATACCACGAAGATGTGGATAACTTAGAGGCCAGTCAAACTGAGATGGACGGATACATCCCTTGATGACGATAAGCCCCTGCTATGGGTTCCATGTATGATCTCATGGCCACAAATATATGAGTAAAACGCCCCACAATCAGATGTCCGTGAAACATGCAATCTATGCCCCGGCGGCCAGTACTGTCTCAAAAGATCGACATAGTTGAGGGGCTACACATGTATGAGTTACAAAACGGGTACATTTAGAGTGCTATGAAAGGTATCAGGTTTACGCAGGTTACCCCTTCCCTTCCTATGTTAGTTATGTATGTATTCCCATGTATATACAATGTTGTGTAATATGCCTATATTGGAAAAGTTACAGGATCCATGCACTGACACAGCTGCCTATCATCCTGACTGTATTGTATTTTTATGGTCATGCAGTGTATATGTATGGATAATCCTGTTCCGAAAATAAAGAATACAAAAAAAGGTATTAGTGTTTGTTTTGGGGACCCCATTAGGGATGCCCCATTAGTCAGGAGCTGACCTGAGTTTAGTTAGTAGCAACTTGGAAAAGCAGAAGTTTTGATTGTTGTATACTATGAACTTGCTGTAAAGCAAGCCCTGCTGCATTTAAAACTGTTTGCTTCCTTGGACTGTTCCTGGGTGTCCCTGTCTCATGCATAATTTACAACTGCCAGTACCAGTTGAAAATTTCCCTTTCACACCAGATAATGTATAATAACGTATAGTTTAGGAAGTCTGGTATATTCCCTTTAAAGTTAACCTGATTTTTGCCCACGCAGTGAAAATAAAAAATCTCACTTTAATACAGACCTCCATGGATGCATACTGTATATTTCCCTTTATTCTTCTCTCACACTACTAAAGAGAAGACCTGTACAAGCCACACATCATTGGTTGGTGAGTGTTATCACAGCGCTATAGGTGTTTAGGTAAACTAAATACCAATAATAAATACAAATTAATACAGCTAAATCCCATATGGTGAACCTTAAAAATAAATTTAGAACATGTGATAGTTAATTAGGTGAAAACCATAATAGTCACAGTGAAAAAAATTGTATTTAAACCACTGAAGGGTCTTCAAAGGGACCTATTCAGTGTTTAATAAATAGTTAAATACTAGAATAGGTTGCTACTATTCAGTGTTAACAAAATAACCTTTAGAGCCTTGGTTCTCAACTTGTGGGTCATGACCCAAAAGTGGGTCGCGACCCAGTGTTTTGTGGGTCCCTGTGTGACTTCCACTTTTCTAGGTGAGGGACTCCTCAGCCTCCCCCTAGTGCAACACTGTCAGTTCTTGTGCAAAGCAGCCATTGAAAATATGCTGCCCGACCCTACGTGTCAGCTTGGGGTGCGGTGGGCAGGAAGTACGGCCAAAAGGGAGCTCCATCCATACATTGTTTACAGCTCCCTAACCTACCCTGCAGAGGGGCCTGAACTGCAGTGAGGTCACATTCTGGCTCCCAGCACCTCTACAGGGCATGTAAGGGAGCTAAATCAGCAATGCACATATAGATGGAGCTCCATCACAGCCAGGAGCCCACACTCGACCCCAGCCTGAGGATTTAATCCAGTTCTCCTAAGGTAGGGAGACTGGGTGCAAAAAAGGAAAAAAAAAGATTTTTTATTTTTTTGGGAGTGAGAGAATGTCTTGAGTGTTTGAGATTGTGTCTGTGGTTGTGTGTCTGTCAGTGTTTTTGAGGATCCATTCACACTAATAGAGTGCAATAATCACACAGTTGCATGCAATTAATGCATTGTACCACACAAACGCATCTACTGCATGTTCTGGTGTGGAAGATGTTTTGCATTGCCATTAATGCAAGTGATACCCCAAACGCACCTCCCGCCCACATCCCGATAGCCTGCACCTGAGCGCCTGGTACAGCAGTGCCGTGCGTTCCATTGCAGTGCAACTTGGGTCGCAACTAAATGACCAAGGACAATTGTGGGTCCTAAGGTTACACAGGTTGAGAACCACTGCTTTAGAGCATGAAGCTCCTTGAGTGATACAATGTGACAAAATATCAATGCAATAAAACACTAATGTATCATAACAATCACAGTGATGGGTGATATTACAGATTGCTAAAAACATCAGTTGTTCGTGGGGAAGAGGAGCCGGGGTCCTGCCGTGGACAGTTAGCTGGATCCGTTACGGTACTGTGAGCGAAGACACCTGCCGGTATCCGCTCTATTGGCGGGGGAATCCTGCACACATCGGTGGGAGAGCTGGGGGACCAGACCCACACCTCTGAGAGGGGCTTGATTTTCACACACCATCTGGTTAGTAACCATCGCTTGGGGGGCTACAGAGCGGGCGAGGAAAAGCTGCTGAACATTTGTGTGCTTTGGCGTTTTTTCTGCTATTTAAACACATTTTTTTTATATTTCACGGATTGAGACTTTAAGGAGTTTTTGTCAATTCCTAAAACTTTTTTTCACTGGAACTTTTGTTCACTGGGTCTCACTTAACAACTCAACAATCTGTAATATCACCCATCACTGTGATTGTTATGATACATTAGTGTTTTATTGCATTGATATTTTGTCACATTGTATCACTCAAGGAGCTTCATGCTCTAAAGGTTATTTTGTTAACACTGAATAGTAGCAACCTATGCTTTAAATAGTATTTATTAAACCCTGATTAGGTCCCTTTGAAGACCCTTCAGGGGTTTAAATACATTTTTTTTCACTGTGATTATTATGGTTTTCACCTAATTAACTATCACATGTTCTAAATTTATTTTTAAGGTTCACCATATGGGATTTAGCTGTATTAATTTGTATTTATTATTGGTATTTAGTTTACCTAAACACCTATAGGGCTGTGATAACACTCACCAATCACATATAATAATTTTTCTCATAGCAGCTTTAGGACCACTTACTAATTTACTATCTATTTAGCAGTCTTCCAAGAGCGCAGATCTTTGTTATAATTATCACAAATCATTGGTGTTTTAGCTGTAGACTCCCCATGTGACAGCACTGATAGGCCCATTGCCGTTGGTGATGGCAGGCTTAAAGTGAACCTGTTGTTTTCCCTTCAATTGGTAAAGCACAGGCTTTCTTTAAAAATGACTATGTGCTCCTTACTCACCATACTGCATGTAAACTTCTGTCAAGCAGAGTGGAAATTTGGTAAGCAGATATTTTTAGCATAGTTTTTGAGATCCTCAGACAACTTCTGTGATGAACCAATGATTCACAGGATTATTCACAAAAGCAAAGTGTTTGGAGAAGGCAGGGGAAGTGAACAATCTAGGACAGGGATGCGATCCCTGGTAGATCGCGATGTTGTGGGGCTTCTCTGGATCCCCGTTGCTCTCCCCCATCTGTATGCAGCGGGGATCCGAGGAGAAGCGAACGAAGCGCTGCAGCTGCCGGCGGAGCTTTAAATCACTTCCTATTCATTCATGAGTTTCTCAATGGGGAGTAGCACTCTGTACAGAGGCTCCTCCTCATTCAGAAACTGGATGATAGTAAATAGTTTCTGAATGAATGGGAAGCCACTGTGCTTTCCATTCATTTAGAACAGAGGACTCTGTGTCCTCAATTTCTTTTTCTATTTTAAAAGGGGAATATCAGGGGGCTGTTTAGAAGCCCCCCCAAGAGTAAAAAAAAAATTTGAATAACAAAAATTAAAATTAAATAAAAAATAAGAACTGCTAACAATAAAATAAAAAATCATGGAGGCAGGGCGCTGGGTGATGTCACACACCTGTTGGGGGGCACTTTTTTTCCCTGCCTCGGGCACAAAAGGAGCTCGCTACGGCTATGCTCCCGCAGTGCTCGTGGGGCTGCCGGCTGGATGTGTTTGACGCTGCAGACGGAAAGGTGTGCAACCCCGTGCAACGTCGGCCACATTCGACCACTCGAGCACCGCGCGAGGACAGGACGCCGGCGCCTCTAGCATGCACTGTAATGCTAGCCGGCCGACTCCCTGTGTTCAGCGGCTGGAGAGGGCGTGGGATTGTATTGAAGTCAATGGCACCGCAGCCATTCCCCCCGCCCAGAGTGCGATCACCTGCCTGCATTCTGGTCCAGTGCAATCTGCAAACATTTTTGCAGATCGCACTGGACCGGAACACAGGCACTAATATGCCTGTGTTCCGGAGCGTTGTGGAAACATTGGTCACATATCTAGTTACTCACAACTAATGCAGATAATTATATCAGCTCACTATATCAATAAGAAATTGTTGCAATGTATGCATGCACTGAACCTGCTTACCTACTCAAAGCTATAAAAAACGCTTAGCCTTTCTTTCATAGGTTACCAAGAAAAAGTACAAGTAAATGACAAGGTTAGTGTTCACCTTCAGGGTAATAAACCACAAGACCTTGAGTTAAAAGGAAATGTAAAACCTTTTGATCATGTGCTGTCATTTGGCTGTTTATGGCTTGAAGATAATTAAGTAGTGTGACAATGGGAAACAGAGATAACAAATGTCTTCTGACTTTCAGTTATCATTTAAAGCTAGTTATTATATATTACATATTGGTAATCATATTTAACCACTCAGGCTTTAATGCTCCTTTTTTCCACCACTAGAATACTGCCTTCCCCTATGCCCCCCAATAGCCATAGACAAGGAGGTTGGTCAGATATTTAGGCACTGATAACCGTTAAGCAATAAGAACATTTTTTTCCTGTGTAGTAGTAAAATGAAAAACAAATGTACAATATGTGTCAGAGAAGTAAATTTATTGGTCTAAGTTATGTGAAGCAGTAATATTTACAGGTATTGGTATGTATTCATGGGTTAAATATTTCTAGGCCATGTAGAAAATACCATGTTAGCTCTACAGAGATTATGTTTTAAAATGATAAAGACATTGGCACAAAGGAAAACACCTCTGTGAAAAGTATCTGATGAACATTCTCCAACATGTACATGGGGCATATTAGTTTTGGGACCTGATATTTACTGGGTTATGCATTGCACACTGCCATGACAGCCTATTTGCTTAAAGGAGAACTATGGGGTCAGTGTTTTTCCCCATAGTTCTCCTTAGGGTAACGGGAGGACACAAACTAGCGTCCTCCCGTTACCCTAAGCTCAGTATACCGCGAGCTACAGCTCGCGGTATACTGAGACGCCGCAGCCGGAGCGGATCTCGACATGGACGTCAAGATCCGCCCAGCTGCGTGAGTGACAGCTGGCTCTGCCTATCTAGAGGCAGAGCCAGCTGTACCCGCCCCTCCCCCGTCCGTTCCGCCAGTCAGCGCTGGCAGATCGGAGCGGGGAGAGGGGAATCCAGCCCCTCCCCCTGTCACGGCAGGGAGCCGGGACAGGATCGGGGGGGGAGCGAACCCGGTATGTGTTCGCTCACCTCCCGATCTACTGAGCCGACCTGTGACAGTCTCATTGTCACAGGTCGGCTAGAACTATGAGGTGAGTTGAAAACATTTAGTACTTTTTCAGAAATTAATAAATAAAAAAATAAAGTAAACCATGTATAAAGAGACCATTATACATGTGGCCTGCAAGTTGCACTTTCAAGGTCATGTTATACTATCGTCTTTAGATTGGTAAGACATCTATTAGAGTTGGCAGCTCAATAGGTGTCCTTGATATCATGGCACAGCTTTCCACCATATCTTAGTGACAGGGAACACACATTTTCTTATTTTCTATCCCTATCTGTAACAAGCTCCCTCATTCAGATAACTGTCATTCTTCCAGATAGTGCAGCTGAAATCACGCCTTCCCGGGTTGTGAATGGAAACACGCTAGTAAGAATAAAGTTCAAGGCAGTTATGACACACCACAAGGTCACATTACTGCTGAATGTCTATATAATCACATCACCTACTAATCTAGCAGGAAGACAGTTTGCCTCATGTCTCACAGTTTACAGTAACCTGAGTGCTCCGTTTACAGGCATCTACAGCACAGCAATGGCTTGTAAGTCTGAAAGGCCTAGTGCCTGCCAATGTAATAAAGATCCAGTTAACAGCATTCTTTTCCGAATGCTTAATTCAGAAGTCACATCAAAACCTAACAGTCAGCAAGAGTATCATCAATACAGCTGTAATTCAACTGGAGGATGCTCATGTGAGGGCAACAAGAAGGTGTCGCAGTGCCCATGCGAGGGCAACAGGAAAGTGGTGCTGAAGAACTCTGAAGATATCTGCAAAAAAGCATCTGAAGTGTTATTAAAGACGGTGGCTTTTATTAGAAATGTCCCATCCTTCTACCAGCTGCCACAAGAAGATCAGATCCTTCTCATACACAAGTGCTGGGCTCCACTTTTTGTTTTAGGACTGGCTCAAGAAAGGGTAGATTTTGAATGGAAAGAACTTTCTGTCCCAAGCCTCTTGAAAAAGATTCTTCTTAATCAGTCTTCCAGTGCCGGCGATACCACAGCGAGGTCTGATGCTGGAGTTGCTTTCAGAGATGTCCAACGGATACAGATGCTTCTACATAAACTGTGGAGCTTGGACATTTGCACAAAGGAATATGCATATCTTAAAGGGATGGTGCTGTTTAATCCAGGTAGGTTTTTCACTGAAACTTCGCTGAACATTAGCTGTATATAAACTGGTTCGATGATGTACTGGTAATGCAAACTCAAATGAGCCATAACTTTTTTTCTTGTGAAAAAATTCTTACTTCTCTCTAATTCTACCTAACTTCTTCCTTGGAATTAAAAAAACAACAACTCTGAAAGTAGACTTCAAAGACATGAATTGTTTAGGGCTGATAGTCGTTACTAATTCTCTGAGACATTACTGAATGCTGCTTTTACTTTTAAATACCAGATATGAGCAGGTGGTAACTAAGCCAACTGATGGATGAGTCCTCATATGCCATGGCATTTAGGTTCGAGGCTATCGCTAACATAGCAAGATTCTCCTAACTGTAATAGGAACAGGTGTCTGGGAAAGCAGATTTGTACAAGGGGGCCAGTGCACACAAAGTATTAGAGGTAAACTATTTTAATGCTTTAATGCTTTATGGTGTTTTATATAATTCAATATGGTAGAATGGAGAAAAGACCTGTGTGGTCACTTCTACTCCTCTGTATACACAACTACTAAACAAAGATATGAGCTCTAATGATTCAATAGGACATTCCTCATTTTCTTCCATGTAACCTCTCAGTCAGTATGATGGTAGAGGTGGATTGAGGATGACATTTCTCCGTATCAAGTACTAGGCTTTTCTTCCATTGTAAGCAGTGGCTTAATAGTGCAAATTGGTACTTGTTTATATTTAGTGAGACACTCTTCTTTTTAAAACGACATTCCTAATGTCTTCTAGACCTGGATTCTTCTTTAATCTTTTTAAAACTCCAGTGGGAGATATATTAAATGCATATATATTTTGCTTTCTGCTATGGAGGATCTCTACATATTTGAAATATGCTGAATATAAGAAGATTTAGTATGCAACTGTGGATAACAATAGGGAACTATGTCAACATTTACCCCACGGTAATGTAAAATGAATTCATTCATTCTAAATGTAATGCAAAATTGATTCATTTTATATATTTAATAGCAAATCTGTAGTGTTTCTAGAGAAGAAAAAAAGAACCAATTCCAATGCTATGTGCTGTAATAATAATGAAGCTTGATATTCTATTTTGATGTTAATTAACTTTCAAATATCAGATACTGCTTTAAGCTTTTAAAAAGAAAGGCTTTAAAATGACTTAATTACATTATTATGTGGAATCAACTATAAATGGTAGCTTTTTACTTCTGAGTGCTGGTAAATTGCATCAAGCTACATATTCTGCTTTTTGCTAAGCCTACTGTATCATTTTTATTTACATAATATATAGAAATATATTACCTAACACAGTGCTGCAAAATGTTCCTATTGTTTCAAAATCCCGAGCGTTGTTAATGGTCCAATAATTACAACAAAATATACTGAAAATATATATTTTTTTGTACATTTTGTGATATATTGAGGGATAATTATATAAATTAAGAAAGACTAAACTAAATTAGGTTTCAGCAAACCTTAAAGGAGAACTATGGGGTCAGTGCTTTTCCCCATAGTTCTCCTTAGGGTAACGGGAGGACACAAACTAGCGTCCTCCCGTTACCCTAAGCTCAGTATACCGCGAGCTACAGCTCGCGGTATACTGAGACGCCGCAGCCGGAGCGGATCCCGACGTAGATGACGGGATCCGCCCAGCTGCGTGAGTGACAGCTGGCTCTGCCTATCTAGAGGCAGAGCCAGCTGTACCCGCCCCCTCCCCCGTCCGTTCCGCCAGTCAGCCCCGGCAGATCGGAGCGGGTAGGGGGAAATCCAGCCCCTCCCCCTGTCACGGCAGAGAGCCGTGACAGGATCGAGAGGTGAGCGAACCTGGTATGTGTTCGCTCACCTCCCAATCTACTGAGCCGACCTGTGACAGTCTCATTGTCACAGGTCGGCTAGAACTATGAGGTGAGTGGAAATCACTCATCTCATAGTTCTCCTTTAAACTGCTGTCTATAAAACATAAGCTATGTATGTTTTTATCAATGTTGCAAAAGGGGTGATCACGTTACCTCACATGCAAAGTGGGTGGGTGGTAATACGAGCAATTATACTCATCTAGGGTAAACCTCAACTGGGAGAGACTGGTAGAGCCAGGAGCTTTTATGTTATCATAGTTCAACCAGGACACAGTCATAAATTGTATTTTGTCTGTGAAGCGGCGTTTTTATCAAATGTACTGATCTTGACCCATCTATTGCACAATTGCTATAATATAACAGCTACTGGATATGCAGGGAAAAGTGAGAAGGCAGTACTAGTTAACATTATTCATGAAAACACTTACTTCAAGCATTAATTCCCAGCCAAAGCTTTTTTTATTTTATTTTTTTTCCATATGGAAGCGGGGATGGTCAGTGCCTCTGTGGGGTTTTAATTTGCAACTGTGTCTTTATTGGGACTTGGATAAAATTTAAAAAACACCCCCCGAACTGATGAAAAAACATATGCACAAATAAACAAAGCAAATGAATCATGAAGCTTTTAAAGAAACGAATATGTGAAGCTCAGTGTATGCATATTAAAGTCCATTGTATGCTTATCTGTTAAAATCAACTGAAAAAGATTTGTAATTTTAATTTGTTTCTGTTCCCCAGGTATTAGTGGTATGAGGTACCCCCATTATGTTCAGACCCTGCATCTGGAAGCACTGCAAACACTAATGGAGTTTACATCAATGATACACAGCAGGAGTTACAGTCGCTTCACCTGGATGCTGGAAGCTGTAGACTTTGTCAAGACTATCGACTCCAAAGTGATCACAGAACTTTTCTTCAGACCTATCTATGGACAGATTAATCTGGAAGAGGTGTTGCTGGAAACTTTGTTTATCAAGCACTAAAAACAATCAATCCAGAATGTTTTTTAATACATGTGACATCATTGAAGTGGACGTTTACCCCCTTTAACTAAAAATCACATCAGTATAGAGCTCTGCATGCTGATATGCTGACATCTTGCATTCATTAGCTAAACAAACATATTTCTATTTTATTTACAATTTCTCTTTTTCCACTTCCTGGTCCACTTTGGCACAAATTATGTAATCCTGCCTAAGTATTGCATTCTTGAAAGGTTAAATCAGCAGAGCATTGCTGGGAAATCTCATCTGTACTCTCATGAGATCTCAGGGAAAGGCAGTTTCCTCCCTTGGGATGATGTGCGTGAGCACATGTCCTAGTCACATGTGCCAGGGTTCCAGGAAGTAAAGTGAGATATATTCATCTGCCCTTAGTTAAAATGGCCACTGCCAGAAAAATGGGGAAGAAAGGAAAAATTAGAAATGCAAAAAAAAAAAAAAGCAGGCACTTATCTATAAGTATCTGTTTGTAGATTGTCATTACTAAACATTTATAAAGGTGCCATTGTTGTTATTTTGAAGATATGAGTAAAGTTCCTCTTTAAGACCTCTTGTGTAGAAAGGGCCTTCATAGGTGCAAGCTGACTTACAGCTTTGGTCAAATATTTTCCTATACTGCACCAGTGCACATACTGAAAGATAGAGAATTGTTCAAACAGATACCACAAAGCTCCATACAGTAGTACAATATGTGCAGACATAGGAATATTCTTTTTATTTTTACTCTATTTTTGTATGTAAGTAATTTTAGCATTTACATCTCTTGTACAGTATTGTTTACTGTTAATATGTCAGAATGACTCCATACTATTGTGACTACTGTAGACTACAGTAGATGACTTCATCCTTATCCTTCCTTCACTACATGGTTAGCCAATAACTAATAACAAGTATGGGAATAACAGTTGTCTTTATACGTCACTGACTGCATGCTGTTCTGGGTTAGTAGAGATCAAAGATAATCATCATCACCATCAAATACCATTAATCACCACCAAATCACCATCAAATACAGGTGAGCAGCAGTTACCATGTTTCCCCGAAAATAAGACACTGTCTTTTTTTTTTTCTTGCACGAAATAAGACACTAGGTCTTATTTTCGGGGTATGTCTTACCTGGCTGGGGGAGGAGTGGACGAGGTCCTGGCAGGCGGCATGCTGTTGCCGGTCCCGGCGGATGTCGCTTCCATTGTGCGTGCGTGCGGGCATGTGGGCGACACAACCCCTGTGATAGCATTTTTGAGGTGACAGGTTCTCTTTATTGACCCTGTCACCTCCAGGACATTAGTTCTAGCACAGCACTCGTGTGCCTTGCCTGAGGAAGGGGATCCTCTTTGCCCCCGAAACGTTAGTTTCGGGGCCTGCATGTCAATAAATAGACGTTTGCTTATCATTTTGGAGTGCCGGTGTCTCTGTCTTTGCAGGTGAGAGGGGAAGACTGCTCTCCCCTCTCGCTGTATACACGGAGCGGCAGGGTTACTTTTAACCCTGCCGCTCTGCTCACCACAACGGCAGCCAGTGAGGGACTCGGCGGCGGAGCAAGGTAGGTGCGGGGGATGGTGGGGGGGGAATGGGCTTTCAGTGCGTTGCAGGCGTTCACATGCATTTTTTATGCGTTTGCATGCCTTCCAGAGCAGGTAAAATAGGGCCTGCTGCAGTTTTTTTTACCTGCTCTGGAACTGAACGCTGCGATGTGAACTGGAGCTAAAAATACCATTGGAATACATTGGACGCAGTTTTGCTCTGGTCTGTAACTGCTCTGCTCTGCACCTGCTCCGCGCTTGGTGTGAACAAGGCCTTAAAGGAAAAGTGGATTAAAGGGTAAGGGCTCTTGAAATCAATAAACTCTTCAAGGGGGCTTCAGTAGATAACTCTGACAGGGATACATTCTAAAGGTGCCCATACACTACAACCCTCGCAAGACTTCTGTCTTGCAAGGGTTGTAAAGTACCTAAAAAAACGTACGATCTGCCCATCTTGGACAGGCAGATCGTACTTGCGATCATCGGAAGCCCGCCCCCCTGAGGGGCGGGCTTCCGATGGCCGCAATGCTGAATGGGCAGTGTGCACGTGCGCACACCGGCCCGTTCGGCATTTGTCTCCCGAGCACTGTTCAAACCAGCCGAAAATCGTAAGATTTTCGGCTGGTTTTCTAGCATGCTCCTTAGACAAAAGACGTGCGACCGTACAGTAGAAACAGTCGCACGTCTTCATTTACACTGCACGATTCTCGTACGATCGCGGGATTTCCCGCGATTCTCGTACGAGAATCGTGCAGTGTATGGGCACCTTTAAGGTGTTTGACAGCTGCCATGAGCAGTGAAGTCTATATGTTAGACGGGTAATTTCCCTGTTGGGGTCCTGGAGCATTTTAACAAACCGGTAGGTGGCTGAGTGTGCTGGAACTCACTAACATCTGTGTAGCTTTCCAGGATTTGAAGGAATACCGTGCAATTAACACTGGACTTTGGTCTCATTTCTTTGAACACAGCAGTACCCGCATAAGATAATTGCAGTTGCTCCCAGTCAGCAAATAGTAGAAAGCACCCAGTTACGAAATGTAATTTATGTACATTTACATGTTATCTTGCCACAAGATCAATGTTTAAAATGTTTTCTCGCATACAAATGGATTAATATGCACTTAAAGAGTGTATTGAGTTTAAAAAGTTTCAGCAGACTTTCAGTGGAAGGCAAGCAGTAACTGTACTAAGCTAAACATAGTACAGCTTTTTACTGACTCTATCCACTGTTATGCTAATTTCTCTATTTGTGTATTATTTTTCTATTTTTATTTAAAATAGTCTCTTGTGTTGTTTATTTGTTTACTAAATTCTTTTTGTTTTGACTCATCTACTCTGATGGATACTCTGCCGATCTCTTATATTTTTCCGTTTACACAATTGCTAAAAAAAAGCTGCAATTTTATAGTGTTTCTGAGTTCTATGTGGTTTAAAACTATTTATTTTTGCATTTCACGTCAACATTTCACATCAATAAAAAAAAAATATTTTACTAATAATATTTGTATTGTATTTTTTTCTTCTTTCTCCTTTTTACACCTGTTTTCTATTTTTAACAATTAAAAAATAGTCTTGTAAAGGAGATATATCTAGTACTTTGATGTGTACTGCATTTAAAGTGACACTAAACTCAGGAGTTAAGGCTCCATTGACACATAGTGGTAGCGTTTTCGGTGTGGAAAACCACGCAAAACGGAACCGCGCAAACGTTAACATACGCGTGAAATCTGCGCATTTGCGGCTATTACTATAGCCAGAACGTGTGGAATCCGCCCATAAAATCGCGCTTGGACTATTTTGTGGGACATGCAGTTTTGTACCATGAGGACGCCGCAATAGTCGGAACAATGCACATTGCAATGCATTGTTTTTTTCTGTTTAGCGCATTTCCACTCGTATTCGTATTCATGTGTGAATGGAGCCTTAATCTTAAAATTGCATTCAAGTACCTTAACTATTAAAAATACTGTACCTTGTTGGTGTAACACTCAGCTGTAGATGATCAAATCATCTCTGAATTGGTGCGGACACTGTCCTTCCTCCTGGAGGGTGGCTACTTTTGTTCCCCATGGTCCTGTGATGGACTACAATCTCAATACAAATTAGTAAAGTAAACAAGAGATTGTAGTCCATCAGGCCCCGTTCCCACTGCGCGCTATGCAAATCGCGCGTTTGTCGCGCGATTTGCATATTGCGCGACATCGCGAGATTTGCCGCGCGATATTGCGTTCAAGCTTGCATTGAGCAAGCTTGAATCGCGGCTAAATCCGCTCCAAAAAGGGTCCTGCTGTAGCGACACGCGACAGCAGGACACTTTGCCCCATTGAAATGCTTTGGAGCGCGATATCGCGCTGTAATTTGCCGCGATATCGCGGGAATTACCGCGCGATAAATCGCTCAATGTGAACGGGGCTTCACAGGAGCAAGCTTGGAGCGGTGGCTACTTTAGAACACACACAGTGACCATAGTTCTCCTTTAAGGTACTTGAAGGCATTTTGAATATATAACTTAATATATATTTAGTGTTACTTTAAAAATAAAACCTTTTAGGCCTTGATCACAACAAATGCAGAGCAGATCTGCATGAGTTTCTGCACACGCAGTGCAGTGGGTTGTGCCACGTTTTTTGCCACGTTTTTGATGCGTTCCGGGCCGTTTTTGGTAAAAATTGGCTTTCAGTGCGTTCCAGGGCATTTGCATGCGTTTCAGAGCTTTCCAGAGCAGGTAAAATAGGGCTTGCTGCAGTTTTTTTTACATGCTCTGGAACTGAACGCTGCGGTGTGAACTAGAGCCCAAAATACCATTGGAATACATTGGACGCAGTTTTGCTCCGGTCTGTAACTGCCCTGCTCCTGGAACGCACTTGGTGTGAACAAGGCCTTAAACATGTTCAGAGCTCTATTACTTTGTAGGAAGGAAGGAAGAGAGAAAATGAAGAAAAGGATAGTTTAGCAGTCACTAGTATTAAACCAAAAAACATTATTAAACAAGTCACACGCTTGTTAGCTGACAGCTGAAAGTCATTTTTGGTTAGGGCTTCATTATATTTCAACAGATCTGCTTTAATCTATTAAAATCTTAACTGAACAAAACAGCGACGTTGATTGGTTGCCATGGGCAACTACTCCAGATTCTGTCTGCTCCAGTTTTGATAAATTCCCCCCAGTGTATAGACGTGAGGATGCTGAGGAAAATTAATATGCTGCAGCATAGGAGGAGAGAGACTTCAGAGACCAGAGAAGCAGGGAGTCGGCTTTTTTTTTTAGCACCTAGAAAAAAAATGAGCACTTAACTCTTGCAGTGCAGAGGCAGCCCCACTGCAAGGATTAAGAAGACTTTTGCTTGGAGTTCTTCTTTAATTAGTGATGGGTTCTTCCCAAGCAATTCACTTTGTCATTTATATGTATAAAATACAGCTCAGGTGCTGCCATCTAGTGGGGATAGGGCGAAATCAATGCTTGTCAGATTACATTGAACTAGGACTGCAACTTATTTTCATAACTGAAACGTTGGCCGATTATTTTTTCGATTAATCAGAAAAAAAAGTGGAATACCATGTTTTATGTACACTAAAATACACAAATGGAGTGTTACAAACATAAAGTTTGCTTCACAATAAAACTGCACAATTTTTTGCAATCGCACCGCACTGGAAGGCATTACATTGCGGTATTGCACAATCCGGTGCACGGGATCGCACTGTGGGCGGGAGGCACGTTTGGGGTGCCATTGAAATTAATTGATCTAAACAGATCCCTGATATTTCCCTTTTGAATTATATAAAGAGATTGAGGACACTCAATCTCTTTTTCTGCAGCCTCAGCACTGAATGAACAAGAAGCACTAAGTACAGAGGCTTCCTGTTCATTCATAAATCAAGGCGATAATAAACAGATACTATGTCCACAATCATGAATAAACAGGAAGTTATGTAGAGCACTTCCTGTTCATTCATAATTGGGGACACAGTATCTGAATACTATGTCCTCAGTTATTTACAAACATTGTAGTGATCAATACTGATCACTGCGATGTTCGACTATTACAGGGAAACGATCAGAAAATAGTTCACATATTTGCTGATCATCCCGCAGCTCTGCTCCCCGCTCCTGACTTGTCACTGCCACTTTCTCCTACCCGCTGGGTGCCGGCAAGTGGATCGGCTCTGTGTTCCCTCAGATCTCTGCCGATACAAGCGACAAGTGGAGGAGAGCAGTGGGGATCAGAGGGGACACAGACCGGCGCCTAGCGGGGAGGAGAGAGCTGCAGAGCAGGTTTGGTGAAGCTCTCCTCACCTCTGGGCACTGGCTGCAGGGGTCTTTGTTCTCTCTGATCCCCGCTGGGAGCAGCAAGGATTGGAGGGGACACAAGCTGATGAAACACTGGCTCCCAGCGTGGAGGAGAAAAGCGGGGGATCCAGACCAACTAATCGATAATGAGAATCGTTGACGATTCTAAATATCAATTAATTTCTGCCCTACATTGAACCGCATATTGTCAGTCCCCTTACATACTTATACAAGAACATAGAGGCATCCCCAGGCGGGGTGTCACCCGCAGCAGCTGCTGGGTGTCATCCACCGGGGACGTCATCATGCACGCGCGCAGAGTCGTCACTTGCACTTAACTGCGGGCAGCCATGTCAGTGATGGACGGCGGCAGAGAGACTTTTTATCTAGCGGGATAAGGTATGCCGCCAGGTCCACTCCTCTCTTGTACAGTTGTCAGGCACTTGGTCCGTGACTGAATGCCCAACTTTTCAGAATGGGTGACACCAAAATGACTGCGGGCCACACCCCCTGCGTGACGCCGCTGCAAGAACATACAAACACATTGGGAGATACTAGTATGATTTTGGAAAGAACTGTAAGTGAAGGAAACTCATACAAGTGTAAACATTTGATCAAATGTGAAATATTTATTTGGCTATTCGAGGGAGGCAAACCACAGTAGCCAAAGGGTTAGAAAAATCTTCTTACACTAAAAGATTAGTGGAAAAAAAAAGCCCATGACAATGCCCAAAGCTGGGGTGCAGATATCTAGACACTGGAAACCACAGGGAGATATGCAGGGTCGGATTTCCCACAAGGCCAACCGAGGCCCGGCCTTGGGGTGGCAGGGAGCTGAGGGGAGGCAGGGATTCCTATCGCCCGACGCACGGGACATGAAGTTCTGGGAGCCGGGCGGGTAGTTGTTTGCTACATTTAGCTCTGCTTTGGGCAAGCAGAGTTAAATGTAGAGCGGGGAAGCCACTTGTTCGTTTACACGTGATGTTGACGAGATCACTTCTGTGCAGCCTGTTCGTCCGTCCTCCCCCGCAGTGAGCACAGCGCTCTGCTCCGTGTAGACAGTGGGAGGTGAGAGCTGCACTCGCAGCCTTCCCCCCTCAGCTGTCACAGGAGTTCTAGCACAGTACTGTGCTAGAACTCCTGTATTAGAGGTGGCAGGTTCAATAAAGAGAACCTGTCACCTCCAAATGCTATCACACCGCTTGTTAGCTCCTGTGTGATAGCAATAAAGTTAAGTGAAAAAAATAAAAGAAACACAAAATGATCAAAACTAAAAAATTATCAAATAAATAATAAAAAAAAAAAATAATTGAAATAAAAAAGTGATAAAAAAAGTAAAAAATAATAAAAATTAAAAAGTTATAAAAGATAATAAAACAAATACAAATTTGAAAAAGTAAAACAAAGACATAAAAATAAAAAAAAAGTGATTAAGTTTGTAAAAAAAAGTTAAGTGAAAAAAACATAAAAATTGGAGATAGTAGGCTGTATCTCTCCAGCGTCCGTCAAACCAATGTATTGTACCAATCTGGGATGGAACGTGTGAGCGCTGAGATAATCACACAGCACACCACATGTCATCCATCACACGGCTAATTCCGCCCTCCAACCGGTGACATCACTGCAACACCCACTGACACTACCAAGCGATTGGCTGCGATTGCTCCGCCTCTTGTCACCATGCCTCCCGCTTGTGACCAGTCACGTTTGCTGTTCACTAACCCCGCCCCCGTGTGTCTTGTGCGGTGTGTATGCGAAAACATGGCGGCGTTGAGAGCGGTGACAGGGACCGGGAGCCGGCTAACTCGTTGTGTGTTCAGCTGGTCCCGTACTACTTTACAATCATCCACAAGATCGGCAGCGCACTTCACCTTCCATCCGGATCCCGAACCCAGCGAATATGGTGAGATGTGTGTGTGACATTGTCCGGGTGACATTGTTTACTATGTGCACAGGGAGTGTGCAAGAGATCACACAGCTTACCTTCTACACTGACCCCAGTGATGGTGAAGAGAGTGATCACAACCCCAGAGATTGGAGTGTCATCGGTGTTCTGGCCATACACTATATATAATCAGATTGTACAACCTGCCAGAACTATGTAATAGGAGGACAGAGCTAAACAATCCATTCAGTTTGTAGAAAATCCGACAAGCCCGAGGATTACTTAGTTTGTAGGGTGCATGGCCAGCATTACCCAGTTGAGAGAAAGAAGTATTAGGCTGAAATTACATGTAAAGTTTTACTGCGATTGAGTCCCCGTTCACACGTTTGGCCGTTGCATGAATATGCGCGCTGTGGCACATGTTCTTGCATGCAAACGTGCAAAGTGTTTGCAGTGTAATTACTTGGTAATGCCACCCCAAACGTGGCCTGGACAATGCGTGTTTCTCCTGCCCGTGGAGTTGTGTCAAATGGGGGGGGGGGGCCCCGTGGAACACTAGCTGCTGAAAATGCTGCATGAGCTGCTTTCCCGCATTTGTTGCACATGTGCAGTCGATTAGTCATGGGAAAAACACATGAACGCACATTCTGTTTGTGCGCATCCATACTACCTTAGGGCCCATTGACACCGTGGTCTCCTGGTGCATTGCATCAACGCATGTGTTTTAATGTGTGATTTTTGCACATGTCAACGTACATTGCGCTTGCGCAACCCCCTTTAAACAATTGGATTTCAATGCACCAAAATGTCCTTCAAATCAGACACAGTCTATAATAGAAGTCACCAGCACTCGATGATATGTGCAAGAAGTAAAGCACTTTTTATTCAATCGTCACATGCGTCAAACAGGTCACTATGTCGCCCAGAATAAGGGACCTGAAACGTTGGCTGTATGACGCATGTGACGACTGAATAAAAAGTGCTTTACTTCTTGCACATATCATTGAGTGCTGGTGACTTCTATTATGGACTGTATCTGACACAGTGCCATCCGTGTTGTCCCTTCAAGCACCTACCTCTTACTCAAGGTCTGTACGCTGTATGGAGCGCAGGTGATTTTGTATTATCGCCTTCAAATCAGACATGCGCCATCTTTTTTCACCATGATGCATAGTAATGCATTACCATGTGCTGCAACCCATGTATGTTCCCTAAGTGTGTTGGGGTGCCATTGCAAATGAATA